CTACGCGAAATCGCTGAGGATGACCTCCATCTTGTCAATATAGTCAGCTTTCTCCATCAGAATGATCCCTGTTCCATTATCCGGCTTAGAGAGTAGCACATTCGGGTTTTGTATGAGTGCTTCGAGAGCGTCCAAGTGGTCTTTATTCAGCAAGTACCTGAGTTTGTGCTTCAGATACTGATAACATGTATTAATCAGTATAGATTTAAAATGCTCGGACGCTAATGCTGACGAGGGCGTAAGTGTAGACAGTTGAGAATACAAAGTTTCGAACTGAACCTTTAATTCTAGTTGCCCCGAATAACTACGGGGACTGCAAAACTTCGGACCAAGTAAAAGTACTTCTAACAGTGTCTTATCCAGGTGCAACGAGGAAAAATTGTGGACGTACTTTTCCGGGTAGGGTGGGAATATGATGCTTCCCTTAGTCGTCCTAACTTGTCGCTGTAATGACGCTAGACGTATTTATTCTTGCTTTGTGATTATTTGTTAAATAAACGTCTCGAGTCGCTTGCGTTCATCTGCGTCCACTTTGTCCAGCATGACGGAATACGCACACCGGTTACGCTCGAAATCAGCAAGTCTCGAAGTAATTGTCTCACGCTCGTTCAACTTGTATCGTGTCAAAGCCACATTAGTCGGATTGATACGATTTCGTCGAAGTAATTTCTAGAACCGCAGGATTTTCGCGACGTAAAATACAATTATCAACGAACCGCACTGATGCTTTCGCTACCGCAAGATTTGTGCAAAACTTAACATGATGATTAATCCTTTTAGCACAACGGGACACTTGGACTGTTTCAAGTGAGCAAATATCTCAGGTGTAGACATCAGAACAAGAGTCAAAGCAAAAGCTCGTTTTCGGTGGATCTCCTCAGGCTGGTACACCAAAAATAATAAGAATAAAATGTGTTAGCACATCAGGCGGCGCAAAGTTTCGTAAAATGGAGAATGAGAAGGACAAAACAGCGGCAATAGAAAAGACAGTTACTAGGCTTCTGCGGCACCTAATACAAGAAAACTCTATTGATGCTACCACGTTCGAACAACTTCGACCCACGGGGACGGTAATTCCGAGACTTTACGGACTACCAAAGGTACATAAGGAGGGGCTTCCAATTAGACCCAAATTGGACATGTGCAACTCACCTTATCGCGTAACAGCCAAGTGGCTAGCCAAGCTTTTAGAACCAGTGAGAAAAGTTTTGTCCGTGACACATTCAGCTTCATAGACAATATAAAACATCTTAACCTAACCGGAAGAAAGATATTTTCATTAGACGTCTTGTCGCTCTTCACGAATGTTCCTTTAGAAGAGACATTAGACTATTTATGCGACACCATTTGAGCACATCAGTTGAACGTCGGCCTCTCGTACAATCAGTTGAAACAGTTACTCACGCTGTGTACTAGCAACACAATTTCAGTTTAATGGGGTCACATACTGACAAAAAGTCAGAGTGGCGATGGGCTCACCGCTAGGACCGCTGCTGGCAGATGTATTCCTGTGCAAATTAGAAAACAACTACCTGAGCGGAGTCATTAGCGTATTACCCAATTACAGCCGATATGTGGATGATATATTTTGTGTGACAGACAGTCAATGCTGCACAGAGCAAATTTTATTCCATTTTAACTCAGCGCACGACAACGCTAAGTTTACGCTGGAGTCTTAACGTCATGGTACGATGTCTTTCCTAGACGTCCAAATTAGCAGAAGATCAAATGGGTCGATCCAACGCAGGGTGCACAGAAAAGCCACGTGGAATAGACAGTACATACATTTTACCAGCTTTGTCCCACTAAGCCAGAAGCGGAACTTGATTAGATGTTTAACCGAAAGGGCAAGAAGGATATGTAGTGAGGACACGCTTTCGGACGAGATGAATTTCTTACCTGGTCTTTTTGAGAGAAACGTCTATCCCGAAATGGTTGTTCGGATAAATATGGAGTGCCGAGAATCGAGGGCTAAAACCGATTCGGATGAAAAGAAATTGGCTTATCGGTCGTTGCCATTCAAAGGGGATGGAATAGCGCAGGCAACATCTAGAAAGCTATCCGATACCATAAACCGTACGTACTACGCGGCATGCTTACGGCTAAGATTTACTTTAACGCCAAGGCTTCAACTCAAGGACAGACTTCCTCGGTCAAGTACTTCTTTCTGTGCATACCCCTTTATTTGTTCATGTCGAGCGAGTTATATCAGAAGAACGACCAGGAGACTGTCTGAGAGAATCCTTGAGCATTGCCCGAGTTGGCTGTGTGCAGGTGGAACTAAAACAGTGACAAGCGCCGTGTTGGCACATCTAGTTGATTTTAACCACCAGATGGATAGGCACTAAAGTTTTCAGCCAATTCACTGGGTATCTGGATGCTACACACGAGCGGTGGGATGTCGCCTATTAGCAAGAGCCGAAGCGACCGCCATCCGTCTCCAGAACCCAGACCTATGTGCACAAAAACAATTCGTTCAGATTCTCTCTTCCCTGGCCCCCTATTACAGTAACCCCTGCTGAGAAACATGCAACTGACATGTCGTTGACCGTTTGTGAACCAAGCACTTGACGTTGTCGTTTAGATGACCTAGACCTTTTAAGTTTACCCTTTGAACTTTACTCCCGTCTGATGTTGTAACTCATTGTTATTATTTGCGGTGTACCAGCCTGACGAGATCCACCGAAAACGACCTTGTTCGCTGACCCCTGTTTTTATGTCTACACCTGGGATATTTGCTCACTTGAAGCGGACCCTGTATTTTTTGTAGTAATGAACTCGAGTTGGTTGATCTCTTCATTTTCCTCGGCAGCTTCATCAGCAACGATGGGCTCTTAACGACTAGTCAATTTAATCATCGCAAATGCTTGATATGCCTTCTCAAATTGGCGATGTCTGTGTAGTCAGGAAGAGGTTATCCTTGTTCTGGTTGCCCTATTTACAATACCGCAGATAGGGCGGTCCTACTCTATACTATCGAGATTTTGTTTCTTCATGCTGAATACCTACTTTGACTACAAGTTCTTGTTCATCGTTTTTTTGCATAGCATTGCTGGCGTCCGATAGTACCAGCGTGTCCGCAACGATAATGTGCGTAAGTGAGTGCTATTCCGTGAAAATCGAGTCAGTTCTTTAGGACAGTATGTAGCACTGAATAAGGTGCGTTGGCTTGGACACGTGCTACGTATGCGTGCTTACGGTTTACCTAGGATGGCTTTAGTTTTCTTCCTAGTTGCAGGTTGGTGCAAGGTCCGAGGTGGCCAGAATTAACTTGCAGCGAGAAATGAAGGCACCGTCGACCAGACTTTGTGTCTTCGGTCCGTCTCGTCTTCCACCCTGGAGTCCAGATGACCCACCTTGTGCTCGGATTGAGACTTTAGAGGACATGTCACGCAGCCGGCACCAATGGCGAGTTTGCTGCCGTCTCCCAATAGGATTGCCTGTTTAAAGTTTGTTTGATTCTGCGTTACCTGAAGAGTAATGATTGATTATCTCACGGGACAGTGAAATCCGCAAGGAAGCTATCTCGCCGATGCCACCTTGTCTTTGCGCCATAGTCAGCTGTTTATGACGGTACGTTGATGACAAGGTGTAAGCACCTTGACTCTGAGTGTTTTTGAGGGCAGTAAGGTCTTCCGGTAAGTCCACCTTCTCTCCCTCACATTGTTCCTTCCGTAGATCACCGTGATTGTACGGCACGGTAGTATGGCGCTTGTGTTACGGATGATGATGATGATGATGATGATGATGATGTTTTTGTTGTTGTTGGTGTTGATGATGGTGATGACGGTGGTGATGATGATAACGATGCCGTTGCAGCACAACTAAAAGCTGAAAGGATAATGAAATTATTTGGAAACAAGATATCTGTATCCCCAGCTGCTTACAGTAAAGAGCACTTACTGCCAAACCAACCCTTTCCTTGCTCACTAATTACGTCATACTTGACGTCTCTCAGCCAATTTGAAAAGGACTGGTGTTAAGAATTGTGCACTAAACATCTGATACAAAACTATTATTCTTCAAACCTTTTACTCTACGTGGCACTTAGTTTTATTATTATAGCCTGTTACCTAGAGGATCGACAGCAATCCCTCATTTAATATGGATCAGTTTCTACCCTAAAATGGCTCTGGGTCTAACAGTGAGAACACAACATTCGAAACGTTTAATCCTTGTTTGCCTACACCTATGCGTATAAATCTGCTCAAACATGCCATAGTTTGGAAACGGGATATTCACATTGATTAGAAATCTACTATATACCAAGAGCAAATAAATAAATTTAGCATGACCTACCGCCAACTGAACCGAGTCAATTTAAAATTTGGTCAGTGCAGAGTCCAGTCCTGCTCGACGGTAAGGAATGGTGCACACAGAATCGGACAGAGTTCAAATTCACTTCACTGTTCTTAATCGAGAAATCGACGTTGGTTCGGGTTCCGATGGCCCAAACCCTAAAATTTGTGCAATGTTTTGTATGATTCCCTGTTATTATTTTGCAAGTTGCCGTTTACTATACGGTTCTTTGCTTCCACTGTTACCACTGTACATCGTCCTATCTAACGCAATGTCATTTTAGGGAAGTCCTTGCATTTGCCCGGGGGTACTTGAAAACAACCAGCGGCCATGCGTGCCCAGCACCCGGCACCTTTTCACACAGCCCACTACTAGACAATTGTTACGCTTCTGAGAAGATAATACCCAATTGTAACGGTGCTTCCAACCGACAGCGTTCTTAACTCTGCAGTAGATGTTAATGCACATGGCTCCAAGCGGCTATGGTTCATCAAATAGCAATTCCATTCCAGCTGTGTACGCAAGTCAGACTCGCATACACTATGCACCCTTATCCTTAACCCGTATGGTGCGTAGTAACAGTGCTTCAAACTGATGCAGATGTGACATAATTGAGGACTTGCAAAAATTCTGATGTCCTTCTTTGCTATCAGTTCGTACCTTCACTCTCTAACACTAACTTTCTAATTTCTGCTCCCAAGAAAGATGCACTGATCGATCCAAATTCGCGAAAGGTGTGTAACATAAATGCTTTGATCAATGAAATTGAAGACTTTGAACATCGACTGCTGAATGCACTCGCACACACCAGTAAGTTACATGGAACTAAGAGTTATAGTGTACATTTTAACCTAAAAGTAGCCCAACCTACATGCCATACTCTGTACGAACAGCTATGTTAATCAACAAATAAGCTAGTGGTGAGATTCAATGTTTCAGTGCATTTTACGCAGTTACAAATCTAGTGCTCGTTGAGCACGGTATGACCCTACGTAGACGATAATATCATTTTTCTTAGGTGTTGCGACGTTCCGGATCAGCTGACAACTTGCAATTAGATGAGAATGATCTGCGGAAAACTTCTTAATACGCTCAGTTTTAACAGGTCACAAACAGTGCTATAAAAGTACCATCACTGGCACGCGGCTGCGCAGATATACAACAACAACAACAACAAGAACAAGAACAACAACAAGAACAACAACAACAACACATCATCCAGTTGAAATGATGCCACGCTGCCATACAGGTGCGACGAAGTGCAGAACGAAGAATAAGAAGAGGAAGTAGGATTTACCGGAACAGCTTATTGTCTTAAGCAAAAGTTCAGGGTTAAGGCACCTTGTATCAGCAACATACCATCACAAACAGATGGCTATCCCGCAAAGATAAGGTGGCATCGATGATACGGCTTCCTTGCAGCTTTCACTGCCCCGCGACATAATCAGTCACTACCCTTCATAGAACTCAGCGACAAATACACTTTAAGCAGCAGCGGATGGCAGTAGTCGCTTCACTGGTGTCGACTGCATGTCACGTCTCGAACCAAACACAAGGCGGGTCACGTGGACGCCAGCCTGGAAGGTGAAATGAACCAGCGGCACCGACTTTGTTCGTCAGTGACCTCATTTCAGCTACCAAGGCAACTTTTGTTTACATCGAGCGTTGTGCCACCCCATATCTGGCAAACAAAACAAGGCCCTCCTACGTAAGCGGAGATCAAGAATAAGTAGCACGTGCTCAAACCAACCCAACTGTTATCTGTTGTTCTAAGGAACTAGCTTGAGTATCACTGCCTATCTTTCGCCAACATCCACCATTGTTGTGGACAAGCTGGTACCGCTGCTTTCGAAGATTAGCTCATGTCTGGTGGGAACGCCACGTGAGCAATGAATGTGTTCCGCGTCGCGTATTTAATTTAGAAAGAGCTAGTAAACCACTCAGCAGCAATATACCACGCACCAGTTAGGCCAAATGTTGCGTTCGAAATCACACCGGCTCCCACATCGTGCGTTGTTTACGCCCCCGAAGTCTCGATGGAAGAAGAGGACGGGACACCAAGCAATGACTTGGTCTAGAGGAGTGAAATCCCACTTTTTGTACTTGGCGTCGGTTGGTGTTGCCCGACTGCCTGGCTGGGGTCCGAAGTAGCATGAACACATTTGGTTGGATGAACTTGCTAACGTAGCGAGGAGCCGACCTCCGCGGCGTTTGTTGTGAGTCTTTGTTCCTCCCATCCCCTTTAGCTTTCCTCTCCAACAACAATCTCAACCCTATACATCATGTGATTTCAGCATTATATTACTTTTTTGGCTTTTGCAGTCTGTAATGTTCAATCTATTCTTTTCTATACTGCGTCACATTAGCTGTTGTGTGTTTCTCACCGTCCTCTAACGTGTTTCGATGATGAGTGATAAGACGCGGGTGTCACCCGACACCATAAGATTTGCAGCTTTTTGCTGACAGCTTCAAGATATGGCTAGCCATCGGCTGTCAGAAAGATCACGATATGCTGCAATGAGACTTAGACCGTGCCTTTGAATGGTGAAAGGAAAATCTACCCTCGTTTAAGAGGGACAAGTGCAAACGGTACATGTCCGCCACAAGCCAACATTCGCATATAAGCTTGGAGACGACATGTTGAAAACCGCCTCACAAAAGCGACACCTTGGGGTGGTGATGCCAAGCAATCTCAACTTTTCGTCGAAGTTTTTGAAGGCGTCCAAAACCGTTAACCAACATGTTGGTCTGTTGTCGACGGTGTTCGGGCGGTTCCATCCCCCCATCTTCCCCTAAATGCTCAATGCATATGTGAGGCCCCACGTAGAGTAGGCGATCCAGGCTTGGCAAGCCGGATTAAAATACTATCTGGCTGCGCCGGTGACCGCTCAGAAAAGGGCAAGGAAAAATGTGTAGGGTTATCCCACCTGCAATACAATAGGCGACTGAGAACCCTAGTAGTGTACAGCGGAAAATATTGCTGTCTAAGGGGTGACCTCATCCTGGCGTTCCAGATCATGTAAAACAACGTTCAAGCCTATTCCCATCTCCTGAAGCTTAACAGCAACAGCGAATTGAGGGGTCATAAGTTGAGGTTTGCCACCCAATACAAGCCGCTGGAATTCCGAGTTTGTCAATTTTGGAACGCCCTTCCAACTTTTGTCAGTTCTGCGCCCACGCTACCTATTTTTCGTTGCAGAACCCAGTCATTCAGGGACAAGGGTTTATTCGGTAAAGGCAGCACAGTGAAACTTAAAGCGTATTTAACAAGACAAACTCTTCGATATAAATTGCAGGTTCAAGTCCATAACTAACGACCTTTCTGAGTCGAGGAGGTTCCTCCGTTGCTGTAGTTAAACAAACGGTGAATCACTCACATGAATATCGGCCATTCCGAGTCCAGTAATCGAATCCGTCACGTCCGCCTCCCATTGGCCATCTGGCTCGTTCTGTCGTCCATCTGCTCACTCTGATCTGATACTACCATCACATCTACCCATTTTTCGTATTTTTGCGCCTCCAAATTGCTATCCACTCCGTACAACTTGCCACTCCACGTTGTCTTCGCTGTATGTGCGGCAGTGGTCTCCTTGGCCCTCGCCATCTGCCACTCCACTCCCAATCCACATTGTTGTCTCCGGTGTCGTCTCAAATGCACTCGATTTCTTCTGAAAGTTTTTCCTCCAACGTTTAGTTCGGATGACCTGGCAGCATCACACGCAGTCACCACACCTTTCTTCCACTGCTCTTGACTATCGGGTAATGGTTGAATCCACACTTCCTCTTTCACTGTTAGCTCAGGCAATACCCGTGCACCGCGGTCATAGTACCGTTTCTGAGTGGTCATTCGTCATCGCAGATTGTTCTTTAATCGTTCGTGCTGCGGCGAAACTGGGCGCAAAAGTGTGGCAACTGCCGGTATCAGAGTTCTAGTCCTTCGGCTGTATAGGCGCTGCACTGGTGTCAAACAGATATTCGTTGCAGGAGTGTTGCGATTCTCCAGTAGCATGAGATACGGGACCTCGCCAGTTGCCCTAGCCTTTGATAACAGTCGCTTGGCCGGTATCACTGCTGACTCCGCCTTTCCATTTGATTGCATGTGACATAGACTGGTTTGCTGGTGCACGAATTCCCTCTTGGTTGCGAACGCCTGGAACACACCGCTGGTAAACTGCGGCCCATTGTCGGAGACCAATTCCTCCGGTATACCGTGGCGCGCGAACTAACATCTGAGCATGTCGATTACTGCCTCTGTGGCCGTCGTAGTGAGTAGATCGATTTCAAAATAATCACTATAGTAATCCACCATAAGTAATCTTTCCCGTTATCTCTGAATAAATGCATCACCACCTTCTGTCACGGTCGGTCAAGGACATCATGCAGCAGCGTTGGTTCCCTCGACTGCCAGATTCCGTGCGAACGGCACGCCTCACAATTCGATACATGATCTTTTCTTTGCCCCGTCATTCCTGACCAAAAGATCAATTTTCTTGTTCGGTTAATGGTATAATTTGCACCCAGGTGAGCGCGATGAACCTATTTCAGCATATCTCCTCGGAACAATGACGGAATCAGAATACGGCTCCCCTTGAACAGCAAACTATCATAGACAGAGAGTTCATCTCGAAAATTGAAGTAGAGTGTTAGCTCCTGCGGCAGCTGTTCCTTTGTCTCAGACCACCCATTTGGAATAACGTCTCGCAAAGCCGAAAGCATGGCATCATCCTCTGTGTGGCGCCTTATTTCCCTTAGGCGGTCTTCTGTCACTGCCAGATGCTGTACTAAGTTTACTGCTTCGACCTCTTCCGGATTATGTTCGGGTACCGGCAGATGAGCTCTTGACAGCGTATTTGCGATGAACATCTGTGCACCAGGCTTATACACAATATTCACGTCGTACTTTTGGAGCCGGATAAGCATACGCTGAAGGCGACGAGGAACGAAGTACAGCGATTTCCTGGCTATTACATCATCATCATCATTACACGTTAGCTGGAGGTGGAAAACACCTCAGCTATTGTGCCGCAATACAAAAGGCAAGAAAAGAAAAAACAAACAAACAAACAGTGGCACGCCCGCTGAGTCCCCAGTAACGGATGGACATCGTTCCGGAGAGCTAACAGCTGGCTGCCGTAAAAGGAAAGTCATATTATGCCTAACGATTGAGACCGTGATTGGAGGGGGATGCTAAACAGGAGGGGGATGGACAAAGGAACTCACAACACAAGCGCCATTGGGGCAGGCTCCTAGCCATATCAGCAAGTGTGTCCGACCAAACCTGTTCACCGTCCTTAGGACCCCAGCCAGGCAGTCGGGATGCACCAACCGACGCCAACTTCGAAGTGAGGGTTTTCATTTCTCTCGACCAAGTCATCACTTGGCCTCCCCTCCTCCTCTTCCAACCGCACCCACAACGCGCAAACAATGCACGTCGTGGGAGTCGGTGTGCTGGCATGCGCAAGACGTGGCCCATCCATCGGAGCCTGGTGCGTGATATAATCGTGCTGAGTGGTTCACTCTCTCTTCCTGCACCAAATACGCGACGCCGAACACGCTTATTGCTCATGCGGTGCTCCCACCAGACATGAGCTAAGCATCGAAGGTAGCGATGATCGAACGTGACCAGTCTCTTCATGTCTGTCGACCTGGCTATTGACACGCGTGGTTTATGGTCGGTATACAACGTCGTCTTACTTCCGAAAATATAATTGTTGGAACGCTCAATGGCATAGACTACCGCAAGCATCTCCTTCTCAATCTGCGCATAACGCTGCTCGGTCACGGTGAGTGCTCGACTGCGGAAATCCAAA